CCCGCACTCTCATCCCACCACGGGGAGCATCCGAGTTGAGCCAGCATGCGCCCAGCGCACGAACCAGTATCAACTGACACTAACTACGCGGGACCCACGCAAGCGTGCCGCAACGCTAGCGCGTCGAGATCCATCCGCAATGATAACTGTTTCCAACTATTTTCAAGAGGAAGCGTTTCAAACATCTTCTTATGAAGCGATGCTGTTCAACAAAAAGTCAGTCAGGTTTTTTGATTTCCGCGGATGCGCATTTCCTCAACATCAGCCTCGTCAGTGCCGCCGCATCACGTCACCGTCATCGACAATCGCCGCTATTGCCACCATCCTCACTAAAACACTTTCGTCACAGACACATTGCCATCATCATCATCACCATCATCACCATCAGCCTCATCATCACCATCACTATCATCACCACCATCAGCATCAGCATCATCAGCATCGCCGTCGTCACCAACATCGGCGCCGTCGCTGGCTTTGCCGTCGTCATGCTCAGTATCGCAGCCACCATCGCTACATACTATCATACTCTTTGCCGCCGATTCGAGGTCACCATGTCATCGCACCCAGCGGGGTCACCGAGCAACACTGGACTGTCCACGCGCCAGCGCGGCCTTTGAGACGCGCTGGGAACATCATCGGTAGGCGCCGTCGCGGCCGCATCGGTTGTGCCAAACCAGCTGGCCGCCCGACGCGCAAGATCACGCGCGCCAGCGCGGCCGCAGAGATGCGCCAACTAGGGTCCAGCAGCCATTGCAATCAAGGCAGCATGGGTGTAGCAAAACAAGCTGCGTGTAGGAGGGTGGGATGATTGCGCGAGCAGTGGCATTGACAAAAGTACTGTAAACTGCACTCCCCGGGTGCAAAAACTCACGCGTCTGGGCCCAGGCTGGCAAGCCGTCCTTCCAGTATTTTAATGACTGTAGCGTGCTCTCTATCGGGCTTCCGAAAACCGAAGGCGGCCCCGGGCGCCCCCAAGATAACCTCAAAACGGTCCTATACGGCAGAAGGAAATAATTAGTGGACGCTCCCCCGCTCCCCCAAAATCAAAGTTGGCACGCGCGGGGAAGACTGCGGTCGAAATGCAGCTTGATCAAGCCACCGCCAACATTGAGCATCAGGGGGGGGACATTGACAGATGAATACGGCATGAGTGTTCGCTAATCTCTTCCGGGGTCCGTATCCCCCAACAGAGCCCCGACACGGACAGCAAGGTGTCAAAGACGGCCCCGGAGGGGCCCCAAGATGGCTCAAGAAACCTCCAAGACGGCCCTACAGCGCCCCAGGAGGCCGCCGAGACGACCTAGAGAGGTCCCCCATCCCAAAGAGGCCCTCCAGAGGCACCCAAAAAGGCCCCCAGGAAACCCTGAGCAAGCGCCACGAATGCATCAAGAGGCCTCCTCCTCGTCCTCCTCTTCTGTCTTCCTGCCCCAAAGTGTTCCCGCAAAGGTTTCCACAATGACTAAAAGGAACGGATAGTCCAATACCTTGGCCAGAACTTGGCCCAACTTTTGGCCACACTGGCACGTCCGAGCGGCAGGGGGCGGCGGCGGTTCGCCGCACGCAGGCACACGTGTCCGATCGAAGAGGAACAGGCGAGGAGCGCACGTAGCTTCAATCCACGGCGACTCAGCTACCGCCAGGGCCTTAGCATCGCATTGCGACGAGGGCTGCGGCTCGTATTTCATAATGGTAAGTGGGCGTGGCCGCTCTTGGCCACCCCGCAAGGTCAGCTTTCAATTTATGATAGATATGGAAGCTCGGCGCTACGATCTGATGGCAGCGCTGGCGGGGATACTCGGATTCATGATGTAGTTTTGGGCCAAGCCTCAGACGCGTGACAGGACAGGCAGGGTGGACGCCACGAGGGATTGCAGGAAGGTGGAGGCGACGAGGAAAAACAATGTAGTGTTGGAAGAAGTCAAGGGCTTGGCATCCAAACAAACGCTGACACTCCGCAACGCTCCGGGTGCGTGCGAACGTGGTCCACCCGCTGGACAATGTCTTGATGTGCGCCCGATCCCACGAAGGAGGAGACCGAGCTAGGATGGATCGGAGTTCCTCCCATCTCCGCCCGAGCTCCGCCACGGGGATCTGAGGGCCAAGGGGAAGCCACGAACAAACCCTTCGGGCAACGATGGGGGGGAGAACGAGTCGGGAAAAAGCGAGGAGGTGAACGAGAGATGGGTTAGGATCCGCTGGGGGCGGGGACGTCTCACTTCCAGCTGGGCGCTGTCGAGCTCAATGCTTGCAACACGGGTAGCCGTGCCCCACGCCTGACGGGCCATGCCTGGCGGGCCCATGACTTCGAGAGCAAACTCTCAGAGTATTCGCACATTGATGTCAGGTTATGCCAACACGCCAGGCCCAAGAGCCCACGCGGGAAGGGCGTACAACCTCCGTGCGTTTCCGCCTGCTGCCTGAGAATCGCGATCGCCCACCCGCCGTTCCCGACGTGTGGAACGCGGTTCTCCAAGCAGCGGCAGCGCTCAGGGTCCGAATCGGGCAAGGAATGGCACTCGGGAGCCGGGAAATGACCCCAAGGAGCTCCGAGGCCTAATGAGTTGGGCGGGAGGCGGAGGAGGCGGTGGAGGACAAGGCGCTCAGAGCGAAGGAGAAGAGGCGGAGGAAGGAATAGCTGGCATACGCTATGCCGAAATTGTAAACACAGCAGCTCGACTCCGCCGGGGCACGAGTGAGGGCCAGCTGCATTACTCTGCTGCGCCACTTACACTTAGAGCAGCCCGCTGCTCAGCAGCTGTAGCCTGCGGCCCAAATTCTACTCCGAGGAAGTCGGTCGCACCCTTGACGGCACAGTCGGCCCATTCAGCCCATTCAGGAATAAGCGAGGCGGTACGAGACTTGAACTTTCGCACCGTGGCCTCATCGCAGGCCTCGCGTAATGGCACGACCGCGCACCTAGCTGGCTGGAGCGACAACTTCGCAAGCGTGCGGGCTGCGCCGAAGGGTGGGTGAAGAAGAGGGAGGAGGCCAATCGAGGGGAGGGTGGCACCCACGTCGCCCACCGTCGCGCCACACTCAGGTTCTAGCCCTGGGGCCCACCTGCCTGGGGCAGGGCAGAGAGACAGGGCTTCGGACGATTCGAACTGCGCGGCAAACTGCCGAAGAAACGGGTCCATGATCAAGGCCCACAAGGTACCTGAGGGGGAGAATCCTTCGGCAGCTCCCGATGTCACCAGGGAGGGCGGGAGCCCCTGGGAGCCGCAGCGGGTGTGGACGAGAGCCCCCATAATCAAGAGCTCCCAACTTCGCGCTTCGCACTGCGCGAAGCGCGAAGTGCGAATAACTTCGCGCTCTCGCCCCGCCTCCACCGGGAAAAGAGGACGAGGAGGAATCGGAACCGAACCGCGAAGCGCGAAGCGCGAATAACTTTGCGCCCTCGAGGGAGCCCTTGTGGAGGAACGCCGAGGACAGGGAGGGGAAAGCATCAGCGAGGTCAGAGGAGGCAAAGCGGAGGAGGAAGGCAGCGCGGTGGCCGGCAGCTCACGCAATCGCATCCTGTCGTTCGATTCGCGAGAAGAAACTCCTTCCTCTAATGAGTCCTTGCTGCGAGCCGTGGGCCCGCACGCTCACTAGCTGGGCGACCTGGATGTTCGCCGCTGCAGCCGCCGCATTCGCGCCCGAGGTCCTGAAGGAGAGCGGCCTCAGCTTGGCTGCGTGTCTGGCGATGTCCACCACGTCCGTCGGGTCGCCGCCCTTGGGCACGAAGGCCATGTCCGAAAAGTTGAAGCCCCATGGCGCATGCGTGCCCGCGTTGAACTCAAGCATGAGGGCGCGCAGCGTGCCCAGCCGTTCGTCCGCCAGCCAAGCGACCGCGCGGAGCTGGTCAGGCCTGGGCGCCGTTGGCTGGGCGCGCTGGAAGGCAGCTCGAAGCGCCTGCGGCGAGGGGACCGACAGCAGCGGCCGCTCGAAGTCAGGGATGTGCAGGTGCAGGTAGGCCTTGACGGCCGCCTGGTCGACAGGCTCGTCCTTGAAGACGGGGCCCCAGAACTTCCTGAGCGCGTCCACGACCATCTTCGGCTCCCGCTCGATTGTCGAGCCATGCCCCTCTCCATCAGCGTGTATGCCTGCGAGGACCAGGCTACGGCGATAGGGCACCGACAGCAGCGCCCGCCGCTGGGCCGTCAGCTGGAGCTCCGGCGGACCATCGCCACGAGACCGCGTCCGAGCCTCCTCGCGCAAGCGGTCCGCTGCCGCTTTCTGCTGCCGTGCGTGCCAGGCAGCGCGTAGCAGACGACATTCGCTCTCGAAGGACTCCGCATCTGTGAGCGAGGTACAATCGTCGTCGGCCATCGTGAGGTGGCGGGCGTCGAAGTCCGTGGTGTCCTGCAGGCGCTGGGCGAGCTGGACATCTTGCCTCCATATCACCCTCGCCACCGCGCGTGCAGATACGCGCCTGCCGATCTCGGACTCCTCAGAGCCGTCCCCGATGGGCAAACGCTGCAAATCGTTGCGCGTGAGCCGCGCGGCCTCAACCATCTGGTTTTTCACCGTCCGCCAGCGCTCGTCAACGCCCAACTGGTCGTGGGCGGAGCAGTCCATCAGCGCCTTGATGTGCTTCGCGTAGCGCGGGGAGGCGAAGACATTGGGCGGGATCACCCGATCCGCTTGGGCAGCAGCAGCCCTTGGGCGGATCTGAAGCTGGATGATGGCGTGGTCGCTCAGGCCCCACTCCGCCAGGGAGGCGGCATCCTGCCAGATGTCGAAGGAGACGGCCGTCTCCAGGAGGAAATGTGACTGCAACGACAACAAGGCGCGGTCGATGTAGGAGCAGGTCTGGTGCCGCTTGGAGTAGTGGGTCGGGTAGTCGCAACATACCTCTACCATCGACTGCTGGAGGAGCGACCTCCAGAAGCCCTGTGACTGGTTGCCACGATGCCACGCTGAGCGGATGAGGAGGCGGGGGAGGAGGAGGAGGAAGAGGAGGAGGAGGAGGAGGAGGAGGAGGAGGAGGAGTTTGGCCACGTGCCCCGCCCGGCCTGTACTTCTCGCACTTGGCGCTCATGCGCAGGACGCCGTCGGAAAGGTGCGTGTTCCCTGGGGCACCCCGTCATCGTCGTGGTCGCCGCCACGGGCGGAACGGGGCGGGGGGGAGGAGCAGGCAGAGAAGGGAGCTCCATTGGCCCGTGGACACTCTCCCGACCATCCTCTTGCATACATTGCCGTGAAGGCCAGTCCACAAGAGACCTTCCACAAGAAACCCGACCCTGAGACCCCGGGGCGTTCATTGGTTGTTGGTGTGGGGGCGTCACGCCCTCCATTGCAGAACCATCGAAGCTCGAGACACCCAGGGCACCCTGGAGGCAAGCAGGGCGTCCATTGATTTTTCTCCATTGCAAAACCATCGAAGCTCGAGACACCCAGGGCACCCTGGAGGCAGGCAGGGTGCTCTTCCCTGGCAATGGGCCTCCACAGCACTGCTGCCCCTCCTCTCCTGTGCCGCGCGGCTCCGGCCTGCCCCGTGCCCGCGCCCCCGCGGGCTGCCTCGCGCCTCGGCCGCCCCCCGCGGCCCCACAGCCTGCCCACGAGAGAGCAGGCAGGGGGAGGGGAAGGCGTGCCCCGGGCTCCCAGGTGAGGAGAGCACAAGTTGCGGGACGCGAACACGACCACGGCCACTGCTTTTCTTCTGTTGCCGCCTTCCAGCCAGCAGAAACACAGCAGTGGTTGTGGGCATTTTCGTGAAGCTTGGCGACACGGAAATGACCACAACCACTGCTTCTTTTTCGGCCGGCTGGAAGGCGGCGCAAACAAGAAGCAGTAGCTGTGGTCATTTTCCCCGTCCCGCACAAGTGTTGCGCTGGGAGGGGAGGGCTGGGAGGATGAAGGGCATGAGCAATAGCGCTCCGGATGGAATGAACGATACCTTCGGCCGCCGACGAGTAAGGATGTCCTCGCTTCTCCCAAGCCCAGCCTCCCAACCCGATTGTTGTCCTCCTGACAAGGGCAGGAGAGCCCAGAATCGAATCGACAAGTCGGACCGGCGCTCGAAATGAATCGGACTGGCGGAGATCGGCAGCCGAGCCGGGAGCAGTCCCATCGGCCGAAATCGGCGCGCCAATAGGCCTCCACTGAGGAATCGGAGCCCAACTCGGAATCCGAAATCGAACCGAATCGGAATCGGATGCCATCGGAATCGAAGTCGGAATCGAATCCGAGGAGGGAATTGGCACGAGTCCTGCCGGGGGGGGTGCACTGCTCTTGTGGCTACCTCGGGCCAGGTGCCCCAGCCGAGAGTCCGGGGGGGCGCGCGTCGCCCCCCTCCCCATCCGCGGCTCGAGGGCGAAGGTCGGCCGCGGGAAGAACGGCACTGAGATCCGAGCTGCAGCGGGCTCGGCAGCCAACGTCTGTGCAGTGCCGCGAGATCGGCGGCGCGCGAGGGGTGGGGCGGGGGTGAGAGGGGGAGGGACTTCTCAGGAGGCGGCGGGACTCTTCTCAGAAGCCCTCGCGCCGTTTGATATGCTTTTGTTCCACCTCTTCGGGGAAGGCTTGGAGAGCGCTCCTCAGAAGGCGGGGGAGCGAGGAGCGAGGAGGAGGAGGAGGAGGAGGAGGAGGAAGAGGAGGAGGAGGAGGAGGAGGAGGAGGAGGAGGAGGAGGAGGAGGAGGAGGAGCGAGGAGGAGGAGGAGGAGGAGGAGGAGGAGGAGGAGGAGGAGGAGGAGGAGGAGTAGGAGGAGGAGGAGGAGGAGGAGGACCCCTCTCATCTTCCCCCCCTCGCTCGCCTCCGAGCGAAGAGGAACCCCAGGGGTCCCCAGAGGTCGCTGGGCGTCTCCGGAGGCCCAGGCAGCCTCCCGAGGTCCCTGCGGGCCCCCGGGGGGGCCCACCAGAGGAGGGTCGACAGTGCGTCCGAGGCCCAGCGATGTCTGCTCCCGGGAGGGGGCGGCGCCCTGCTTCTTGTACATCTGCAGCTCGTCGTTGTAGACGATGCCGTCCTCCCGGGCGTCCCACTTGTCGGCGTCCAGGGTGTCCCCCTCGGCACGCCAGGGCGGCGGGGGAGCGCAGGAGGAGCTGCGGCTGCTTGTGACTCGACGAGCGGGGCGATCGCATCCTCTGTTTTGGTTGGCTTTCATGTTCTCAAGTTCGAACTTTTCTCGAGAAATTTGAAGCATGGAATCTGCCGTGTGGCAGGCCGTCGCAGGATCGGCGACTTCGCACGGTCCTGTCCGTTCGCCTGCGGCGGTGCAGGCAGAGGCGCAGAAGCGAGGCTGCGGCGCCCCGCGGGAGGAGCGGGGGGAGGACGAAGAGGAGCGGAAGGAGAAGCAGAGGGATCGCGGGGGGGACGGCGCGAGGGGAGGAGGAGGCCCGAGGAGTTGCAGAGGACGAGGATGCACAGGAGGAGGGTGGGGCGGGCAGGAGGAATGGAGAAGGGTGGAGAGAGGGGCGCGCGAAAGGGGGGGGAGGGGATCGTGCGGAGTGCTGGCAATGACTGGGACCGAGATCTCCCATCAACACGAGATCCTGCAAGGAGAGAGGAGCGAGCGAGGGAGGCAGAGCGAGAATGGTAAGGGGACGGGCAAGGGGGAGCAGGAGACGGACGTGCGCACCAGGCACCGAAGTGCCTGGAAAGAGAGAGAGAGAGGAATAGAGAGAGGGGGGGGGAAAACAAAAAAGGGGGAGGGAAAGAGAGAGAGAGAGAGAGCGAAGGATAGCAAGAGAGAGAGAGAGAGGGAGGGAGGGAGAGAGGGAGACAGAGAGAGAGAGAGAGACAGAGAGAGAGAGAGACGGAGAAAGAGAGACTGAGAGGACGAGAGAGAGACAGAGACGGAGAGACTGAGCGGGGTAAAGTGGCATCGGGAACCTGTAATCCCCTTCGTCTTCGTCGTCGTCCTCCTTCTCCTCGTCCTCCTCGTCCTCGTCCTCGTCCTCCTCCTAGTCCTCCTCGTCCTCCTCGTCCACCTCCTCTTCCTTCTCTTCCTCTTCCTCCTCGTCCTCCTTGTCCTCCTCCTCCTCCTCCTCCTCCTCGTCCGCCTCCTCCTGCCCATGCTCCTGCTCCAACTCCTGCTGCTCCTCCTGCTCATCCTTCTCCTCCTCCTCCTCCTCCTCCTCCTCCTCCCTGCTGCTCCTCCTCCTCCTCCTCCTTCTCCTCCTCCTCCTCTCCTCCTCCTCCTCCTCCCTCCCCCTCCCCATCCTCCGCCTCTTCCTCCTCCTCGTCCACCCCCTCCTTCTCCTTCTCCTCCTCCTCCTGCTCCTCCTCCTCCTTCTCCTCCTCTTCCTCCTCCTGCTTCTCGTGCCCTCCTCTTGCCTCCGTCCTTTTTCATATGAGGCTTCTTCCCCTCCTCCCTTTTCCCCTCCCCCTCCTCCATCCGCTGATCGCTCCTCCGCCTCCTCCTCCTTATCCCCTCCCCTCCCTTCCTTTCCCCCTCCCCACCCACCCCTCCTCTGTCTTATCTTCGGCATGCTGTCGGACGCTCCGAGTCTGTAGCGTCAGAGCGCACGCCGTGCAACAGAAGCAGCAACGGCGTGCGGAAATACCAGCAGAACGACCCGCGTCGAGAGGCCAGCGGGCACGCCCAGACGGAGATGGGCCGACAGCCCCAAGCAGCACAGCAGACCCCGGCCCGCCACTCCTCCGTCCTCCTTCCCCTCCGTCCTCCTGCTGGCGACGGTTAGTCGCCAGCCGATCTTGTCACCACCTACCGCCGCACCCCCAGAGGCGAGAGCGCTGGGGAACGCGGGCGCGCGCGCGCGCCTCGAATTCGTCCGACCACACGACGCGCGCCTTGCCCGCTGGCCCCCCTCGAAGGGGCGGGGGGGGCGCATGCCGTTCCCCGGGGGGTGGGGTGGGGGAAAGCATGCTCCTTCCCCTTCTCCTTCCCCTCGCCGCCTCCGCTACAGGTGCTCAATTCTCAATTGGAGTTCGGCCAGCACGGGCCCCATGCAGTGAGTTGCGGCACCGTGGAGGTGAACTATGGGCGGGGTAGGCTGTGTGGTGTTTGCTATGCCGTTCAGGCTACGCGGAGTGAGCTATGTTGGATTAGCTATGCTGTGTAAGCTATGTGGTCTGAGCTGTGCGGTGCGAGCCAAGTTGCGTAGGCTATGTGGTGCGAGCTATGTTGTGCGAGCTATGCGGTGTGACCTTTGTGGTGCGAACTGTGCTGCAAACATGCGTGGTTTGGCCGTGCTGTGTGAGCTACGTTGCTCAAGCTGTGCTTCCCACCCAGGCGGAGGAGGAGGAGGAGGAGGAGGAGGAGGAGGAGGAGGAGGAGGAGGAGGAGGAGGAGGAGGAGGAGGGGGAGGAGGAGGAGGAGGAGGAGGAGGAGGAGGAGGAGGAGGAGAAGGAGGAGGAGGTGGAGGAGGAGGAGGAGGAGGAGGTGGGAGAGGACGACGACGACGACGACGACGACGACGACGACGACGACGACGGCGGCGGCGACGACGACGACGACGAGGGGGGCTGGGGCGCCAACGTGGCACATCCTCGGCGGGCCCGTCCGATGACGTAAGTCGCAAAGGACACGGGCCGCCCGCTCGCGCCCACGAGGCGCCCACGGGGGGGGGGGCTGGGGCGACAGAGTCGACGTCGAATCGGATGGGTCGTATCGAAACGGACCCAACTTCTTCGGGTGATGGAGCCGCAGTCCCTTCTTGGGGGCGGCCAAGAGGGGGGCGTCCAAGAGGGCGGGGCGCAAATCATGGCCAGCGGCATGTGCGCTTCCCAGGGGGGGCCAACGTGGAACATCCTCGGCAGACCCGTCCGATTGCGTAAGTAGTCGAAGTCAGACCCCCTAGTGGCAAGCACTGTTTGAGAAAGTGATGGTATCCTCTCCCCCAGGATCCAGCCCGAGCGGGGCAGCGTTTTAATGCGTTGCTGCTGTCGTTTGCTCTTTTTTTTTTTCTCTCTCTCTCTCTCTCTCTGTCTTCCCGCTTCCAGCCCGAATGGAGGTTTTTATAGTGTGGCATTCCATCCGCCACCGCGCCTCTGGGCACGGAGCGGGCGTGTCCCCAGGTCCTTCACCCGATCCCCTGAGCCGCAGTCCCCCGTCCAGAGGAGGCTCTTTGGGGCCGGGGCCCCAGCTCGGATCGTCTCGGCTCTTGGCGCGTGCCCCCCTGGGGTCCAGGGCGTGGTGGCGCGTGCCCGGTGGGGACCAAAGAGGGCTCCACCACAGGCCCAGAGAGCTCCAAGACGTCACCATCACGGGTCCATCACGGACGGTCCAAGAGGGCACCGAGTCGCCAAACGATCGCTCCAAGACGCTCAAGATGGCCCCCAGACGGCCCAAGAGGCCTCCGAGACGATGCCTCTAAGAGGCCTCCCGAGAGAGCCCCAAGATGCCAAAATCGTAGATTTTCCGCAGGTTGTTATAGAATGTTGGCGTTCTCGCCTTTTCTGCTTCCCGACGCTCCCAGACGGCCCTAGAGGCCTCCAAGACCGCCCCAAGACGGCCCAAGAAGGCCCCAAGACAGCCCAAGATGCGCCCCAAACGGCCCCGAACGGCCCGTAAAGGAGCCCAAAAGAGGAAACACGAACCGAAAATCTGGGCCTTCCGCCCCAAGAGGCCCCCAGGAGGCCTCAAGAGGAGCCCAGGAAGCCCCAAGAGGCCCCAAAAGGTCCAAAAAGGGCCCCAAGAGGCCTCTAAACGGACCCCAAGAAGCGTCCAAAATTCCTTCAATAGGCCTCCGAGAAGCCTCCCATGAGATCCCAACAAACATCAGATAGCCTTCATACCCACAACCCAGGCACGGTGGCGAGATGGGCCGAAGGCCCTTCGATCCGCCGCCCCCTGCTTGCAGGGGTGCACGGCGTGCTGGATGTTTCAGGTTTTGGTTTTGGTTCTTTTTCTAAAAGAACTCCCCAATGGGCTTCGGCCCGTCCCGCCGGCCACCCGTAATTTTCCCAAAATCCGTCTGTCAATGCCTTTGTTGCCCCAACTTGGCCCAAGATGGCCTCCAAGACGGCCAAGATGGCCCAAGATGGCCTCCAAGATGCCTCCCAGACGGCCAAGATGGCCTCCAAGACGGGTAAGATGGCTCCAAGATGCCTCCAAGACGGCCCAAGATGCCCTCCAAGACGGCCAAGATGGCCCCAAGATGCCTCCAAGATGGCCCAAGAGGCCTCCAAGACGTTCTCCAGGAGAGCCCGAAGAGGCCAAAATCATTGGTTTTCCTTAGGTTTTTGAAGGTTTTTTGCGTTTTCTTCTTTTCGGCCTTCCGACGGCCCAAGAGGCCCCCAAGATCGCCCAAGAGGCCTCCAAGAAGGCCCTATGACGGCCCAAGGGCCCCCCAAGACGGCCCCAAGAGCGCCCCAAGACGGCCCAAGAGGCCTCCAAGACGCCCAACATGGCCTCCAAGACGGCCCTGAAGCGCCCCAAGAGGGCCCCAAGACGGCCCAGAGAGGCCCCCAAGACGGCTCCAGACGGCGTCAGACGGACCAGGAACGCCCTAAGACGGCCAAAGAGACCCCCAGGAAGCCCCCAAAGGCCCCCAAGAGGCCCAAGGAGGCCCCCAAGATGCCTCCAAGAGGCCTCGAAGAGGCCCCCAAGAAGCCCCCAACAGACCCCAAGGGTGCCCCAAGAGACTCCTAACAACCCTCATCCTCCTACTCTATTTCTTCCTCTTCCTCTTCCTGTTCATAATCATTCTCTCCCATGTGTTCCCCGAAAGCTTTCCAAACCGACTCGGGGAACTCATGGTCCGATAGCTTGGCCAAGCTCTAGTCCAACTTTCGGCCACATCGGCGTTTCCAAAAAGGCAGGGGGCGGCGGTGATTCGCCGTAGGCGTCTTCGATAATGTCTGAGCCGAGCGAGGTCATGCCAAGGCTGGTCCCCGCCCCAGGCTGCCCTCCGGTTGCTGTCCCTGCATCCTCTACTCACAGCCCACCGTGGCCGCAGCAGGACTCCACTCCCTTGTTTGAAGGGGCCCTGGGACACACAAATAAATACACACAAATAAAAGGATTCCCCATATGTTCCCATCTTTTCTTGGTTTTTGCCTTTCCCCCCACTTCCCATATTTTCCCATATTTTCTGGGGAATCGGCGATTAAGTGTCTGTGTGTTGTTTCCCCTCCTGATTGTTCTCGTCTTTCGACTCGAACCCCTCCCCGTCACCAGATGGACGCGCGCAGCGAGTCAGGCAAGCGGCTCCAGCGGGCAACAATCCCTGTCGCTCCCGCCCCCCCCCCCCTCTTTAGCTCAGGAGCGGCAGCGAAGGCGTCGGGAGGCGTGACAAGATCGTTGCTTGATCCAGCGTGGGATCCTGGGTATCGCGTCTGGGAAATCCTGGAAATCCTGGGAACCCTGGAAATCCTGGGAATCGCGTCTGGGAATCCTGGGAACCGCGTCCTGGAATCCTGGAAGCCTGGGAATCCTGCGAGAAAGACGTCTGGCAATCGCGTCTGGGAAACGATGGCCTCGCGAGGCGCACACACTGCCGACATGGAGGGGGCCAGTGGCGGTCCAGAGCGGGGCCTGCAGAGCAGCCGTCGCGCAGCGCGAGGGTGGTCGCGACAGGCAGCCCCGAAGTCCCGAAGAGATCCGCATCCCAA